TCTTGGTAACAGTAACTTGTCTGTGTTTCATGGCTACGCAGTAAGGTGCTGAGAACACAGATTTTTAACCCTGACCTTTCCCTGAATATTCAGCTCAGTGTTTTTCCATGGAACCTTTGAGAGTGTCAAAGGCAGGAGCTACTTTCCAGATAAGTGTATCAAGTCCAACATCACAAGGCAGGTTGTCTGTCACTGGCACTGTAGAACCAAGTCACAAGGGGTGTTAGTTTGTATGCTAAGGGGGGGAGAGTTGGCACTGTTCTAATACCACAGTTTTGTTGATGCTTACAGTCAGGGAGCACAAGATACAAGCAGAAGAAAAACAGTCTATGTGGTTGAATATTTGTGTGACCAATTAGCAGAACATCAGCTGAGCTGAGTAATGAAATTTACTTTTTCTTTGTCTTTGTTCTGAGTAGACAGATTTAATGCTTCCTGCTGACCAAGTTTACCAGTACATTACTTTAATATGTGCAGAGAAAGCAAAGATCAGGAGCTTGGAGAAGATACTAAACCAAATGACAGCTAAGACATAAACCTGATTCACTCCATTCTTTTGTCAAACTGTCAGAACTGAAGCCATTGAACTCTACACAGTGCAGCATATATAGTCATGGAACGAGCTGACGAGACCAAGGAGCTTTGGAGATGGTCAATTTTCTCTCAAACCTTGTAAAGTCTTAAAATTAGATTAAAAAAAGTTCCACTATTCAGCAGGTCAAGCAGTGGTTGATGACCTTTCATGAGAATACCCATTAACTCTGTTTTTCTGCATAGTCGCTGTCTGACCTGCTGAGTATTTTCAGCAATTGTTATTTGGATTTTTAAGTTCCACCATTAGTATCTTCCACCAAGTATTTTCCCTTTGCTTTGTGGAGTCCTGCTCTGCTTAAGGTACTGAATGCTTTCGTGAGAATTTGCCAATAGCTACGAGATCTATCTAATGTTTGCTTTTTTGGGGGTGTGTGGAATTTCATTATTGTAGTTATACTTAGCTCCCCTCTCTTTATCGCTATTTTTAGTGTATTAATTGTATCAGTCCCATTTCATGTTCTTGCCCTGAATTTGAAATGTTGATTGCTTCCAGATTTGCACCTTTATCTCACTTGCTCCAGATCCATCACAGATTTCCTCCTTCCTTGACTTTTCTGTCTGTATTTCTGGGGATAGACTATCGATCAATATTCTTTGTAATTCTCACAATTATCTTGTGTGAAAACTTCACTACCTGCTTTCTGTAAGGACTTAATTCCATTCTCCTGGTGTCTTGGTTTCATATGCAACTTTCCACACTAGGTGTTCTTTTTTCTCAACTAGATGATCCTTACCTTAATCCCACACGGTTAAAACATGCTCATTCAATTTTATGTGCTCTTGCCCTCAGCCATGCCCTTCTCTCACAAAATGATGATCGGGTTCCCGTTGTTCTCACTTTCCTCTCTGCCAGTTTGGGGTGGTGCGGTTGGTGGTTATATTCTCTCTTGGAGATAGGCATGCCTGGCATGAATGTTACTTGCCACTGTTCAGCCCAAACCTGAATATTGTCCAAGTCTGGCTGCATTTGGACATGGACTGCTTCAGTGTCTGAGGAGTTGTGAATAGCGCTGAATAATGTACAATCATCAGCAAACATCCCCATTTCTGACCTTATGATGGTGGGAAGCAGCTGGGCCTAGGTATTACCCTGGGAACTCCTGGATACTCCTGGATGTCCTGGAGTTGAGTTGACTGGCATCCAACAAATACAACTATCTTTTTTTGTACTACATATGACTTAACCAAGGGAGAGTTTTCCCCCAATTCCGTTGACTTCAATTTTGGAGGGACAACTTGGTGCCATATTCTGTCAAATGATGCCTACATATCAAGACTATTTACTTTCACCTTATCTCATAGAGCCATACAGCATGGAAATGGACCCTTCTGTCCAACCAGTCCATGCTGAACCTAATCCTCAAACTAAACTAGTCCCACCTGCCTGATCCTGGCCCATATCACTCCAAATGTTTCCTATTCCTGTACTTATCCAAATGTTTTTTAGAGTTCGTAATTGTGCCCACATCCACCACTTCCTCATTCCACATGCGAAAAATGTGTAAAAAAATTGTCCCTCATGTCTTTTTTAAATCTCTCTCCTCTCACCTTAAAAATATGTCCCCTCGTCTTGAAATCCCCCATCGTAGGGAAAAGACACCTACCATTAACCCTATCTGTGCCCCTCATGATTTTACAAACTTCTATAAGGTCACCTCTCAACCTCTTGCGCTCCAGTGAAGAAAGTCCTCGCCTATCTAGCCTCCCCTCCTTACCTGGCAACATCCTGACAAATCTCCTTTGAACCCTTTCCAGCTTAATAGTATTCTTACTATAACTGGACAACCAGAAGTGGGCACAGTACTCCAGAAGAGGCTTAACCAATTTCCTATACAATGTAAACATGACTTCCCAACTCCTATATTGAAAGGACAGAGCAATGAAGGCAAGTGTGCGGACAAGCATGTCATGAGGTCAGGAGCTGAGTGACCCTAGAACGGAGTATCAGTCAGCAAATTACTGTTGAGTGCTACTTGATAGCACCGTTGCAGACCCTTTCCAAGTGTTTAGAGATGATTGAGAGTAGATTTATGGGGTGGTAATAGGCCAGGTTGGATTGGTCCTGATTTTTGTGTACAGGACAAACCTGGGTAAATTTCCACAATGTTGGGTAGATGCCAGTGTTGTTGCTCTGCTGGAACAATTTGGCTGTTCTGGAGCAAGTTCTGGAGCACAAGTCTTCAGTACCATTCCCAGAATATTGTCAGGCCTTTGCAGCATCCAGTGACATTCCTCAATATCATGTGAAGTGAATTGAGTTGATTGAAGACTGGTATCTGCAATGCTGGGGACCTTATTAGGAGGTGGAGTGGATCATTCATTCTTGACGGAAGATGGTTGTCAAATGCTTTAGCCTTATAAGAACATAAGAACTAAGAGCAGGAGTAGGCCGTCTGGCCCTTCGAGCCTGCTCCGCCATTCAATAAGATCATGGCTGATCCTTTCGTGGACTTAGATCCACTTACCCGCGTTCTCACCGTATCCCTTAATTCCTTTATTGTTCAAAAAAAATCTACCTTTTTTTAAAAAGCGTTCACTGAAGTAACGTCAACTACTTCACTGGGCAAGGAATTCCATAGATTAACAACCCTCTGGGTGAAGAAATTCCTTCTCAGTTCAGTCCTAAATCTGCTCCCTCTAATCTTGAGGCTATGCCCTCTTGTCCTAGCTTCACCTGCCAGTGGAAACATCCTCTCTACTTCTATCTTATCTATTCCCTTCATAATTTTATATGTTTCTATAAGATGCCCCCTCAATCTTCTGAATTTCAATGAATATAATCCCAATCTACTCAGTCTCTCCTCATAAGCCAACCCCCTCAACTCCGGAATCAACCTAGTGAACCTCCTTTGCACCCCCTCCAGTGCCAGTACATCCTTTCTCAAGTAAGGAGACCAAAACTGCACATAGTACTCCAGGTGTGGCCTCACCAGCACCTTGTACAGCTGCAACACAACCTCTCTGCTTTTTATTTCAATCCCTTTAGCAATGAAGGACAAAATTCCATTTGCCTTCCTAATACTTGTTGTACCTGCAGACCTACCTTCTGTGATTCATGCACAAGGACACCCAGGTCCCTCTGCACAGCAGCATGCTGCAACTTTTTACCATTCAAGTAATAATCCTTTTTAATATTACTCCTACCAAAATGTATGACTTCACATTTATTTACATTGTATTCCATCTGCCAGACCTTTGCCCACTCACTCAATGTATCTATGTTCCTCTGCAAAGTTTCACAGTCCTCTGCACACTTTGCTCTGCCACTCATCTTAGTGTCACCTGCAAACTTTGACACCCTACGTGTGGTCCCCAGCTCCAAATCATCTATATAAATTGTAAATAATTGCGGTCCCAACACCGATCCTTGAGGCACACCACTAGTCACTGACTGCCAGCCAGAATAGCACTCATTTATCCCCACTCTTTGCTTCCTGTTAGTCAACCAATCCTCTATCCATGCTAATACTTTACCCTTAATGCCATGCATCCTTATCTTTTCACACTGTCATCATTGGGCATGGGGTAATTTTGGAGATCATCTCCTTTGGGTATTGTTTAATTGCCCATACCCATTTACATCTGGATGTGGCAGAGCTGCAGAGATTTGATCTGGTTCATTAATAATTGGCTTGCTTAACTCTCTGTAACATGCTGCTTCCACTATATGATATACAGGCATTACCACTCAGTTTTGTATCACACCAAAAACCTTTTGTCATTTAATTTCTCCTACCCTTCACCCTATCATTCAGTTACTCCCCCATTTTCTGATGAAGGGTCTAGGCCCAAAACGTCAGCCTTCCTGCTCCTATGATGCTGCTTGGCCTGCTGTGTTCATCCATCTCCACACCTTGTGTGAATCTCAGATTCTCCAGCATCTGCAGTTCCTACTATCTCTGATACAATTTTCACTCCCTGTTGGTCATTTGCTCAAAACCTAGGACATTGCTAAATTGTTTCAGTCACAGCCTGAACCATTAATGTTTTTCCTCTCCTGGATGCTGTCAGACTTTCTGAGTATTACTTTTGTTTTATATTTTTAAGTTTTATTTCCTTTAGCCCCAATTCCCAACCCACACTGCCAATCTTCCTGTACTCACTAGCAGATCTTTGGTAATTCTGGCAGTTTCTTCCTACTCTCCCTTTCTGTCAGAACTCTGTGTGGACCCTCTCTCTGGGACTGCAGCTTCAGTGAAATGCACTGACTCTGACCCCACTTCTCCTACTTATGTCATGGAATCCCAGGATGCCTCCTGTGTTGTAACCCTTTTACCTGCCCCTTTGTGTCTGGAAGTCCAGCTCACCTGGTCCTACTCCCCTGCTCTTTTCCCATTGACCTACAATAGTTTTTTTCAGATGTTGCATTGTAAGTTTGATTCTAACCTGTTACTCACTGTCCTCAGATGGCAGAGCAGGAATCTGATGGCGTGTTCACAGATGGAGAAAGGAGCAGTGTGTCATCAACACCAAACTCCAATGTAAGTCATGGTCAGGGAGGGGATGGGGAGGAAATAAAATGCGCCTTCAGTGGAACTCAAGTTAATTCTGTACTGTCTTAGTATTCCTGTCAGATTCTCTGGTACTTAAAAGGTGCAGCAGCCAGGTGCAGGAGAGCCTGTGTTTGGGATGACATTGCAGAATTCCAAGGCGTGAAGGATTGAGGTGTTCCACTGCAGGTGCAGCATGTAATTAAGAAGATTAATGATATGCTGTCATTTATTATGAGAGAAGTTGAACATAAAACTAAGGATGTTACGCTTCCATGTTACTAGATCTTGAATGTGCTGTACAATCTTGATCTCTTTATTTAAGGAAGGATGGAAATGTATTGGACGCAGTTCAAACAAAGTTTATTGGATTGGACTCAGGAATGAATGGGTTGTTTTATAAAGAAAGGTTGGACAGACCAGGCTTGTTTTCACTTGAGTGTGGAAGTGATTCATTTTGGAAGGTCAAATTTGAATGCAGAATACAGGGTTAATGGCAGGATTTTTGGCAGTGTGGAGGAACAGAGATCTTGGGGTCCACATCCATAGATCCCTCAAAGTTGCTATCCAAGTTGATAGGGTTGTAAAGAGGGTGGATGGTGTGTTGGCTTTCATTGGCAGGGGAATTGAGTTTAAGAGCCGTGAGGTTACGCTGCAGCTTTATAAAACTCTGGTTAGACCACGTTTGGAATATTGTGTTCAGTTCTGGTCGCCTCATTATAGGAAAGATGTGAAAGTTTTAGAGAGGGTGCAGAGGAGATTTACCAGGATGCTGCCAGGACTGGAGGGCAGGTCTTATGAGGAAACATTAAGGGAGCTAGGGCTTTTCTCATTGGAGCGAAGAAGGATGAGAGGTGACTTGATAGAGGTTTACAAGATGATGGGAGGCATAGATAGAGTGGATAGTCAGAGAGTTTTTCCCAGGGCGGAAATGACTATTACGAGGGGGCATAACTTTAAGGTGATTGGAGGAAAGTATTGGGGGTGTGTCAGAGGTAGGTTCTTCACACAGAGCGTGGTGGACGTGTGGAATGCGCTGCCGGCAGTGGTATTGGAGTCAGATACCTTAGGGACATTTAAGCGACTCTTGGATAGGCACATGGAGGATAGTAAAATGTAGGGTATGCAGGGTAGATTGATCTTACAGTAGGATAATAGGTCAGCACAACATTGTGGGGCCAAAGGGCCTGTACTGTGCTGTACTGTTCTATGTTCTGTGTTCTAACATGGGGTGACTGAAGTGTCTAAAATCCTGAACGGTCTTGACAAGGTGGATGTGAAAAAGGATGCTTCCCCTTGTGCATCAGTCCAGAACTAGGGGACAATGTTTAAAATGAGGGTTTGCTCTTTCAAGACAGAGATGAGGGTTGTGAGACTTTGGAACTCTGTCTCAGGCGGTGAGGCAGAGTCACTGTATGTTTTTAAGATGGAGGTCGATAGATTCTTGTTTGGCAGATAATCAAAGGTTATCATGGGGTAACAGAAACAAAGTTGCTAGAAAAGCTAAGCAGGTCTGGCAGCATCTGTGAAGGAAAATAACAGTTAACATTTCGGGTCCGGTGACCCTCCTTAGAACTGGTTTTCATGGGGTAGGTTGAAATATAGCAAATCAGCTCTGATCTCGTGAATGGTGGGGTAGAATCAAGGGACCATATGGTTTGTATCTGTTTTGTATGTTCATCCATTGGTTAGGCTTGCACTCATTTAGTGCAGTGCATCAAAAGGTAATATTTGCTAAGTGTCGAAATGATCAGAGACTGGACCAATCAGGACTGTATTCACTGGCATTTAAACAATGAGGGAAGATCTCAAAGACACCTCGACAATTCTAACAGGATGAGACAGGGTAAACACAGGAAAGATGTTCCTGGTAACTGGGGAGTTCAGAACCAAGAGTCACCTCTGAGGATCTGAGGATAAGGGTCTTTTAGGACTGAGATAAGGAAAAATTGCTTCAATGAGAGCGTGGGGAATCTTGCCACAGAAAGCAGTTGAGGCCAAAGCATTGAATGTTTTCAAGAAGGAGTTAAGACATAGTTCCTGGAAGTAAAAAGATCAAGGTATGGGGATAAAATAGGAACAGGGTACTGAGTTGGATGATCAGCCATGATCAAACTGATCGGTGGAGCAGGCTTGAAGAGCTGAAGAGCCTCTCCTGCTCCTGTTTTCTCTGTTTCTACAATCCTTGAGCTGAACAATTGGAATCTTGGTTTGAGGAGTATCTAGCAGACTTAAAAACCTGTCATTGATCAACAGGATAGGGATCGTTCTGTGGCCTTAGTCAAATTTTGCTGGAAGTTGGAATTGACTTTTAACCTTCATCACTCCATTGTTGATTTTGCCATTTAATGTCTTTGCTGATTGTTACCTGGAGCCTAGAACAATGCTAGCATCGAACATTAAGGAAGAGATAATAGCAGGACATTTGGAAAATGCAAAAGGTCAGAGTCAGCATTGTTTTGGAAAAGAGGGATCAAACTTAATAAATGTTTTAGAATTCTTTGAGCAAGTAACTAGCATGGTTGATAAAATAGGAACCAGTAGATGTATTTGGATTTCTACAACACAAGAGGTTAGTGTAGAAGATATGAGCTGATGGTGTTGGGGTGTTATGTATGCATGGATAGAGCATTGGTTAGTTAACAGAAAGCAGGAAGTCGGGATGAATGGTCATATTCATGTTGCCAAGCTGTAATTAGGGGGTTCTCAAATATTTACAATCTATATCAATGATTTGGATGAAGGCACTAAATTTGTGGTAGCTAAATTTGCTCATAGGGCAAAGCCAGATAGGAAAGCAAGTTGGGAAGAGGAAATAAGGAGCCTACTATGCGGTATTGATGGATTAGGTGAATGAAGAAATATTTGACAGATGGTGTACAACGTGGAAAAGGGTGAGATTGTCTACTTTGGCAAGAACAATAGAAAAGCAGAATGTATAAATGGAGAGAGATTGCAGAAATCTGTGATACAGAGGGATTGGGTATCCTGGTACATTAATTACAAAAAGTGGTTATAAAGAGACAGCAAGTCATTAAGAAGGGAAGAGAGCGGAGGGTTAACCTGGGCGATTGGCGTTTAGCTCTGGGATCTCTGTCTAACTACCCCCTTCTTTATACCAGTGATGACATAACAATATTTATTACACAGGATTGGTTCGATGTTGTCAACCCTATCAGATTTAAATTTGGTAGGTTTTCAGTATCTAAGGGCTTGGTTTAAATTGATTGGCTATATTTGAAAACTGTTGTCTTGGTTAAAAAAGTGCTGTGTGGCCTTTCAAAATAAATGTTTCAATTTCAGGTACTTTCTGTACTGGCAACATCCAGCTGCTGCACACAGACAGACATTTTAAAAGTCCCTAAGCACAGAAAAAAAACCCTCACCTTTTAAAGGGACCATGCACTCTCTTCCTTAGTATTTTTCAAAACATTCTAGTTTCCTGCTGTCCAATTCATGACTATTCTATACAATGTCATAACAATCAAGAGGAAAAAGAAGCATACATAAGGTTTAGGAAGTTAAAATCAAACAGGGTCCGTGAGGAATATAAGGAAAGCAGGAAAGAACACAAGCAGGGAATTAGGAGAGAAAGAAGGTGTCATGAAATGATCTTGGCAAGTGGGGTTAAATAGAATCACAAGGGATTCTATACATACATTAAAAACAAAAGACTAACTATGGAGAAGTTAGGACCACTCAAGAATAAAGGAGAGAACTTGTGCTTGGAGGCAGAGGATGTAGGTGAGATCCTAAATGAGTACATTGTGATGGTATTCACCCAGGAGAAGGATACAGAGGATAGTGAGATTTGTGTGGAGCACACTAATATACATTACCAAAATGCAAAATGCTCTGGCATTTTGAGATCAAGAAAGAAGTGGTATTGGTCTCTTGAAGAGCATTAAGGTGCATAAGTCCCCAGAGCCTGATGGTATCTACCCCAGGTTATTGAGAGAGGCAAGAGGAGATTGCTGGGGCCTTGACCAACATCTTTGTATCCTCGCTAGCCACTGGAGACGTCCCAGAGGACTGGCAAGTAGCTAATGTTATTCTTCTGTTTAAGAAGGGAAATAGGAATGATCCAGGAAACTACAGACTGGTGAGTCTCTCAATGGTGGTTAGGAAGCTATTGGCAATTCAGAGAAGGTTCACTTGGCTGATTTCTGGAATGAGGAGGTTGTGTCATGAGGAAGGGTTGAGCATGTTAGGTCTGTACTCATTGGAGTTTAGAAGAAAGAGAGGTGATTATTTATTGAAACATACAAGAGTCAGAGGGGCCTTGATAGAGAGGATGCTGAAAGGATTTTTCTGCTTGTGGGCAATTCTAGAAAAATAAGGCAATTCCCACTTCAGACTGAGATGTAGCAGAATTATTTTCTCTAAAGAGGAAGGGTCACTTGATCTGAAACATTAATTGATTTCTGTCCACAGATGCTGCCAGACCCGATGAGCTATTTCAGCATTTTTTGTTTTTTGTCTTATTTTCTCTAAGGATTATTAGACTTTAGAATTCTTTTCCACAATGAGCAGTAGAAGCTAGGTTGTTGAATATATTCAAGACTGAATTAGACAAGATTTTCGATCGAAAAGGGAATCAAGGATTGTAGGGAAAAGGCAGGAAAATGAAGTTAAGGCCACAATCTGATTAGTCATGACATTAGTGAACGGTAAAACAAGGTCAAGGAGCCAAGGAGCCTACTCCTATTTCTGATCTTCTATTCTTAGTCTTAAGCTGTACAGTTGCTGTTATCTGTTTTAACCACTCTCTTTGTTTGACTTCTAGGTGTTTGTTGCAGCTGTTCTCCAGGATCCTGAACTGGGACTAATGCCTGCAGCATCCCCTGCACATCAGACCTATGGCACCATGGAAAATCGTGCTGATGAGACCAAATCTGAAGACTCTGGCCAAATACAAAGCTCTGAAGCAGGTTTAGAGAGACAGCAACGTGAGCTGACTGCTGGATCATTGATGGACAGTGAGATCCATTATCACTAAGGGATGCTGGGATAGCCATACAATTTCAGACTATAACTGAGCAATGTTTCTCTCTCTGGAGGCTCTCAATTTTAACGCCACAGATACCTGCTGATTGTGCAGGCAAACAAGAACGTGAAGTTTTTGAGAAGAGGTTGGTTGGAGCCAAATCTCAGATTGCTTTGTTCTATAGCTCTGCCTGTGATAGCATGGTCATTCTCGGCCACGTTGCTATCAGCACGTCCCAGTGAATGCTGCATGTTTCTGAGTGCCTAGACAGTATTGTGTGCTGCACCATATCTGCCTGTATGTGGGAGCTGGAACGTTGCTGGAACATGCTTCCATCAAAAGATGCCACATTACTTAGAAAACCATATGGCTCCTCTCAATGACCAAATACCAATAAGGCCTGGCATCCTGTGATCTTATTCAGTTGTGTGTGTGTGTGTGTGTGTGTGTGTATACATTAATATATAGTTATTACTTTAATCTGTATAGCTTCAAACCAATTCTCTTTTGATTTGTTGCTGGCTAATTTGTTGATTTAAAATTAGCAAATGGTAAGTAGTGTTTCTCTTCTTAATCCAGCTCCAATGGTCTGGGTGTTTATTTGACATTTCACTTCCTGCTACATTCTGTCCTCTTCCTCATTGTCTATTTCACCTTTCCATCCTTATTTTTACTAATTCCTGTTAATTTCTGCATTTCCCATACATTCTTGCATTCCTGTTATCTACAATTCCTGTGTTTACATTTTTTTTCTGCTTGTTTTCCTGCATTCCCCAGTTTTTTCCGGTATTCGTATTATCTTTCCACTACTGGCCTTGTGCATTTACACTTCTTCACACAGAGGAGTAACTGGGAAAGGCAGAGAAGATGTGGTCAGACAGATAGACATGAAGTATAATCAGACATGCAGTGTTGGAAGTGGATGCATTGAGATATGCAGATTGATAATTTGACAATACAACAAAGTGGCTACCTATATTTGAGAGATTTTTTGACATGAGTCACTAACTTACATGGAAGCAAGGTGGAAAGCAGAGATTTATATACATTCATGTGATTTAAACAGTGTAGTCAATGAAAAGTAACTTGTGTAAACCCCCAGTCAAGCTGATGGCTCAGTTCATTGCATTGGGAACACTGAAACAGGAGGAAGCCATTTAGCCTCAATACTCCATTCCACTATTTAGTGAGATCATGGCTGTGATTTACTTACACATACTATCTTTGGCCATTCTACCTTTTGTTTAACAAAATTAAACTGAACAATCTATTTAAAAGTTAAGTTTGAGTTGTAAACTATACATGTTTTCTAACTTCACTTTTGATAGATCTGGCTCTAACCTTTAGACAAAGCTCTCCAATTCAGATTCTCCAACAAGCAGAAATAGCTTCCTGCTACCTTCTACATGGTGATAGCATGGCTTCCATCATCCCTTAACCCTCTAAATCCAAGCAGTACAACTGAAATTGTTCATTCTTTCCTTGTAATCTTAACCTTGCAATCCAGTTGTTTTTCTGGTAAATCTGTGCTGCGTTCCTGCCAAAACAAGTATATCCTTCAACAAGGTGTGGCGTCCAGAACTGCTCCCAAAAAGTCCATTTATGATGGAATCAGAGGCTTCAGTATATGTCTACATGCTTGTATTCCAGTTCTCTAGCTATAAAGACCAGTGTGCTATTAGTTTCTTTTCTATCTGTTAAGGCTGTTTTAATGACCTGTGCACTTTCCATACCAGTACCCCAACAACACTCAAGAAGCTTGATACCATCCAGGACAAAGCAGCCTGCTTGATTGGCACTACATCCACAAGCATCCATTCTCTCCACCACCGACATTCAGTAGCAACAGTGTGTACCAACTACAAGATGCACTGCAGAAATTCACCAAAGATCCTCAGACAGCACTGGGCAGCAGACATATGGAAACATCACCACCTCCAAATTCCCCTCCAAGCCACTCACCATCCTGACCTGGAAATATAATTGCCATTCCTTCACTGTCACTGGGTCAAAATCCTGGAATTCCCTTTCTAAGAGCATTGTGGGTCAACCTACAGTAGGTGGACTGCAGCGGTTCAAGAAGGCAGCTCACCCCCACTTTCTCAAGGGCAACAAGGGATGGGCAAGAAATGCTGGCCTAGCCAGCGACGCCCACTTCCCACAAAATGAATAGAAAAAAATCTAATTAATAATGAATAGTCGAGGCCACACTTTGGCAACATCAAGCTCATCTAGAATGTAATCACAGTTTGTATGCTGATGATGCACTTGCTGGAATTATGACGACTCAGATTACTCTGACCCAAATTTGAGTTATAGCATTAGAAGCCAGTTCAAATAATATGATCCACTTAGATTCATGTGAAAAATAAAGCTCAGTACACCTGGTTCCATTACTATAAAATTAGCAGTTAGCTCCGCAGTTTTTTGCAATGCAGAGCAACCCCAACAGTGTGGTTCACTTCCTACATTGTACCGTTCTTCTCAACATCTCTCCTTACCTGAGGCATGGTAACTCTCCGGTTAAACCATACGAGTCATCTCTAATGAGCAAGCAGTCCTGTGGTCTGTGAGATTGTGGCAACTTAGCCTTTGACTGTAAAATTAAGTTTAAGGATAGCATCAGACTGAAAGAAAAAAATATACAATGAGGCAAAAGCTAGTGGTAAGCCAGAAGTTTGGGACAGTTTTTAAAACCAACAAAAGACAACCAGAAGGATTAAGAGAGGGAAAAAAAAAAAATCAACTTTGAGGTTAAACATGCAAACTATAAAGATGGACAGCAAGAACCTCTTTAAACATACAAGTAAAAAAGCCAAAGTGAACACAGATTCTTAGAGAATGAGGCTGGGAAATGATAATTGGGAACTGGGAAATGCCTTTACATCATTCTTCACAGTAGAAGACGCTAATAGCATTCCAAAAATACAAAATATTGAAAGGGCAAAAGGAGGAGAGGCAATAAGTACACCAACAATTACTGCAGGAAAAAATGTGAGGGAAACTAACAAGCCTAAAGACCAGTGAGACTGCTGGACCTGATGGGATGCATCCTAGGGTATTAAAGGAAGTAGCTACAGAGATATTGGATGCACAGGTAGATTCTGGAAAAGTCCCAGGGAATTAGAAAACTGCCAACGTAACACCTTTATTTAAATAGGAAGGAAACAAAAACAAAGGTAACTATAGGCCAGTTAGTTTAACATTTGTTATTGAGGAAATGTTAGAGTTTGTTATAAATAATGAAACAGCAGGGCATTTCTAAAAGAAAACCATGCAGAGTCAGCATAGCTTCATGGAGGAGAAATTATACCTGACAATTTTACTAGGCTTCTTTGAAAAGGTAATAAGCAGGGTAAAAAAGTGGAAGCAGTGGATCTGAGCATTTGGATTTTCATAAGGCCCTACACATCAGGCTACTTAACAAGATTGAACTTGTTGGTACGTGTGTTTAAGCTTTTATTCTCTTACCTGACAGAAGAGGTGGAAGAGATTATAACCAGGGTGGGAGGGGTCTTTGATAATATTGGCTGCCTTTCTGAGGCATCGAGAAGTGTAGATGGAGTCAATGGATGGAAGGTTGGCTTGTGTGACGGCCTAGGCTTTGTTAACAACTCTTACGATCCTACCCAGCTGTGATGCAGATAGAATGCTTTCTATGGTGCATCTGTAAAATCTGGTGAGAGTCCTTATGGACATGCTGCATTTCTTTAGCCTCCTGAGGAAGAAGGGGCATTGTTGTACCTTCTTCACACTTTCGACCCTCTTCACCTCAGCTCCATTGATGTGATGGTCTAGTGGTATTATCACTGGACTATTAATCCAGAGACCCAGTTAATGTTCCAGGGACCTGGGTTTGAATCCTGCCATGGCAGATGGTGGAATTTGAATTCAATAAATATCTGGAATTAAGAGTCTAAAGATGATCATGAATCCACTGTTGCTTGTTGGAAAAACCCACCTGGTTCACTGATGCCCTTGAGGGAAGGAAACTGCCATCCTTACCTGGTCTGGCCTACATGTGACTCCAGACCCACAGCGATGTGGGTGACTCTTCACTGCCCTCTGGGCAGTTAGGGATAGGCAATAAATGTTGCCTAGCCAGCAACGACCTCATCCTTTGAATGAATAAAGGGAGAAAAAAAAAATGGGGGGTGCCCTCCTCTCCTTGCTTCCTGAAGTTGATGATCAGCTCTTTAGTTTGAGGGGGCAAATGTTGTAAATGGACTTCCAAGATGCATTTGATACTGTGCCAAACAACAGACTTGAGAAACATTATAGTTGTGGAGATATGAGCAACATAGATGTAAAATTGACTTCATGATAGTAAATAAGAGATAACATATAATTTGGGTTTGAGAAAGGTTTGTAGTAGAGTTTCCTGCGTTGGTTTTGGGACCCTTGCTTTTTCTGAAGATCTCAGGGGGTAGGGGATAATATCCAATTTTGTGACGATACAAGACTTGGGAATCATTTTAAATTATCAGGACAATACTGTTGGACTACCAAAGGAGATTGACAAGTTGGTGGATAGGGTAGACAGGTGGCAGTTGAGGTTCAGTGTGAAGAAGCGTGAAGTGATTTCGGTCCAAAGAAATAGGAGAGAGAGTATAGTATAAATGTCACTCCCCTAAAGGATGTACAGGAGCAGAAAAACCTGGGCATGTGTGTGTATATATAACATGCAAACATCCTGAAAAGCATCAGGATAGTCGGGAGAACAAAGAATAAAATTTAGTTTTCTAGGCTTTATTAGCGGCAGAGAATACAGCAGCATGGGTGCTGTACTTATAACAGATACTGGTGTCACAACTTAACTGGGAAGAGTGTCCCAATAATCATGCCCCACAAGCTGTCACAATGTATAAAATACCAATCAGACCAAAATGACCAAAGTAGTCAGGACAAAAGAAACACACCAGTTTGCTTCAATAAAAGAAGAAAAAAATAACTTATTATGATAAACTATTTTTATTTTAATTGGTAGTGCTAAAGTTAAGGATTTATAATTAAGGCAACTTAAACACACACACACACACACACAAATATGATAAACAAAAAACACACTGTATAATACATAGAGTCATAAGAGATGTCTTTAGCCA